AGTTTAAAAAATATTTCAGGCTACATTTTATTTCGTGTAGTAGATGAGATATTAAAACATCGGTAAAACATGATGTATCGTTTTTATAACCGATGTTTTTTGACATCGATGTTTGTTGCGGGAACATCGATGTTTTTAAGAGCATCCCTAACTGTATGGGCGAATAAAGGCTGGTTTTCATTATGTCATATTTTGACAACAAAATTTTTGAACATATTTTGACACAACTTTCTTTCCTTTATCCCTATTTTTACCGATGAGATTATGGGCCAAAAACTTACAAATAGCCACTTTAACAGCGCATGTACACGCCTGAAGGCCTATTATGATCTAAATCAATCAAAAGACCATTTTTTAGTCTCATTTGACAATTTGTTTTCACTTATTTGACCGCAAATGCCATTTAATTTGACTTAGTGAAAATAAGCGTTAAGATTAATAGAAAAAAATTACGAATTTGAGGATAGCTAAGTAAAGTGTTAATTTTTCGTAGTAGCTGCTCTAAAAACAGTGTAAGATGTTTAAGATAATACTTAATATGACTTTTTTAAATTCTTCCTTTTGACCTCTTTTCTTTCGAATTGTTTATTCTTCAAAATGAAAGCGAAGCTTCTCGCGTGCCTACAAGTAAATATATTAGCACGGTAAAGGAAAAAGACTAAAAATGCATCTGATCAAAAGATGATTGTACCTAAAATCTAGTGGCTGTACCTAATGTACCTTTAAGTCATCAAACGTCGGAAAAAGGTACAATTGTACCTACTTTTTCATCCCTGATCCGATAACACCACCTTGTATAAATTCGCCTTGATTTTGGCTAAGCAGTTACTTAATTTTATATTTATTGGGGAAGAGCCATTTCGCTTGGTTTGTCAAGCCGCTTGCGTTGTGTATTGCGCTCTTAATTTCAGTTGCAGTTACACATTGCAATTTTTATTTCCGAAAGTGATTTCTGCAAATCGGCAAAAAGGACTTTCTGACTGTTTAAGCTTAGTATCCAGCTCTTAAGAAAACGGTCAAGAAAAAATTGCCATTATTTCGGGTGTGTGCCCAAGGAATTTTGACATTTTTGATAACGCACAGCCTGTTGCCTCACTCTTTCCTCAAGAAATAATGGAACGGGCATATATTTCTGTTGCAAACCTGGGTTGCCTTGTGCTCTTTTTTCACAAAAAACTTTAGAAAACCGTAGTAGAAAGCGTACTAAATTTCTGAAGAACTGCGTACTGCCTTAAGGAAATTTGACTCAAGAAAATTTCTTAGCCATTTCTTGTACGTCATTTTATATGGAGTTTTTGCTTTTCTTAAGAGCTGGATACTAAGCTTTACACGGGAAAATATACTTTAGATTTGGCAAAATGCGTAGAAACCGCGCTTGCACTGCCAAAGAACGTACATAACAAGAAGGTTATCTACGTTCTTTGTATATATGTACCAAAGAAGATTTACGTTCTTTGTTTCCATTACAGTCTCATTTTTCAACACTGCCACAGCCAATACAACCCTGCATTTTTCATGCAAGCATTTGCTCGCAAAACGAAATGCAACTCTGTTTCGTTAATTTTTTCTCGTTGTGTGTGTTGCACGAAAGTGACGAATTAGTTTTTAATTGACAAAATTTTTCAATCTTTAATCTTTGAGAATTCCCGCAACATTTTTGCAAAATAAAAACTGGAATTTTTTTAAAATCTAACAACAAACGAAAATCGAAGGGAAAATCATTGCAAAGCTTTAAAAAAACTCGATAAAAATGGCAGAAGGAGGTAATAACAAGCGCATCGTTGTCAACGTAAAAACGCCGAAGGAGAAGAAAACAATCGAAGTGGATGAAGATTCTGGAATTAAGGAAGTGAGTGTTCTTTTCAGCTTAGCTTAATTTGAAGTAATTTAAAGATTGCCTAATGCATTTGAAGCCAGCACCGCTGCATAAATACCACATGTGACACTGCCGCCATAGTTTTATGACATTGCGTTAGTACAAATTCTCGTTGGTTTCGTATGCGTGTTAGCAGGTGATTGGCGCAGAAGGTTCGAGCGAATGTAAGAATGCATAATTTTAGGAAATTTACAATTGCATCGCTGTTCAAAAGGCAGACGCAGTGGCGCAACCATGCATTCTTGTTGGTGCTGCGTCACATGTGGTTAAATTTGTGTTTATTGTTGGTGGTTGATTAATGCGGCAACAAGGTATGCATATAGTTAGTTATTGGTCCAAAAGGAAACAATTTTCTTTCCGGCGACGTGCGCTTTCAATGATTATCTCTTTCAGTTCAAGCAGTTGGTAGCACGAAAATTTGACTCTGAACCCGAACAACTAGTGCTGATTTTTGCCGGCAAAATCATGAAGGACAACGACACACTAAGGACGCACAACATAAAGGATGGCCTGACGGTGCATCTGGTGATCAAAGCTCCTACACGCGGAGCAGAGCCAGCTCCCCGACCAGCCGCTGATGTACGTCAAACACCATTCGGTCTTAACCAACTAGGCGGGTTGGCTGGTATGGAGGCTCTGGGCGCTGGTAGCGGCTCTTTCATGGACTTACAAGCACGCATGCAAAGCGAATTGTTAAGTAACGGCGATATGCTGCGCTCGGTGCTGGACAATCCACTCGTGCAGCAAATGATGAATAATCCGGAAATTATGCGATCCCTCTTCACTTCGAATCCCCAAATGCAGGACCTAATGCAGCGCAATCCGGAAATTTCGCATATGCTTAATAATCCCGAGTTGTTGCGGCAGACAATGGAGCTGGCGCGCAACCCATCCATGCTTCAAGAGTTGATGCGTTCGCACGATCGCGCTATGTCTAATTTAGAATCAGTACCAGGTGGTTACAATGCGTTGCAGCGCATCTATCGCGATATACAAGAGCCAATGCTGAATGCAGCAAGCGATTCATTTACGCGCAATCCCTTTTCCGGACTTATGGACGGCTCTGGCGGTACGTGTAGTAAACGCAGTTACTTTTTCTTATACATACATGTATAACTTGTTTATCATGCTTCTTTTAGGTGCAAATAATCCTCAACAGGGCACCGAAAATCGTCAACCGTTGCCAAATCCATGGGGCGGTACAGGTAATGCTAGTGGCAGCGCTGGTGGTAACTCTGCGGATGGCGCCAATCCAGACTTGCCGCCACGTGGTATGCTCAACACGCCCGCCATGCAGAGTCTCATGCAGCAGATGGCCGAAAATCCGTCTTTAATGCAAAACCTTTTAAATGCTCCATACACGCGTTCCATGATGGACGCCATGTCACAGGATCCCGAAATGGCATCACGTCTATTGAGTACCAGTCCATTATTGGCCAATAATCCGCAACTGCAAGATCAGGTGCGTCAAATGATGCCACAGTTCCTCAATCAAATGCAAAATCCCGAAGTACAGAACATGTTGACAAATCCGGAAGCTCTAAATGCAATAATGCAGATACAGCAGGGCATGGAACAGTTGCGTTCGGCAGCGCCGGGTCTAGTCGGTTCGTTGGGCATACCACCACCACCAGCTGGTAACACTGAGAGCTCAACCGGTACGACAAACTCGACCACAAATACCACTAGCGCCGGAGGTGACGCTAATCGCCCGGCCACAGCACCTGGCGGTGGACCGAATCCCCAGCTCTTCAATGATTTCGTTTCGCGTATGTTGAACGGCATGAGTATGCAGACGGACAATTCACAGCCACCAGAAGTGCGCTATCAGTCACAGCTGGAACAATTGGCCTCAATGGGATTCGGCAATCGGGAAGCCAACTTGCAAGGTGAGTGACCAATCGACAATTTCGAAGCGAAAAAGTTTTTTTTAATATATGCTAAACTTTTTTCGAAAATGCAAATGAAATATACATATATAATTATCGTGGCATTTTTTTTATTGCAGCGCTAATTGCTACTTTTGGAGACATCAATGCTGCCGTGGAGCGGTTATTGGCACTTAATCAGTTATCTTTAAGTTAACATCCTTAAACAAAATGCTATTGTTTATTTAATAAATACACGAAATTTACAACAAAATTCAAAAACAGCTGTTGCTGCTTCTACTTCTGCTGCTAAGTAGACGGCCTAGAGACATAATCCTTTTCGCTTTTCCCTCAAAATTTAAACAAATGTCCCAGCAAATTTACGAAAGTGAAACAAAACTAAACAGCATTGCTAAAATTATAACCTGTTTGCTTGGGACCGCGGGTAAATTCCGTGAAATTACATACCTAAATGTTTACCAAAAGTATAAAACTAAAATACTGAGGATTCATAAAACAGAAATAAAGGGTACAGAGCGAAACAATTATTACCTAGCATGAATAATTGGCACAAAGGGAGGATTAAAAGTCATTAATTTGTAATTTTACTGTTCTTTGCGAGGTATTTAATAGTCAAGTTCATTGAAAACCTTATGGAATTCATTTGATTAAGACAATTGTTTGAAAGCATTTAAGAACTTTAATTGGCTTGTAAAGAACAATAATAAAAACACAAAGTATTTGCACAACGCCAAGAGTAAAGAAAGACTCGCAGGCTCGTTCTGCAATTCGTAAGCTTTAAAATCAGTGCGAAGTTTTGGAAATTACTCTTGGTATTGTTGAACAAATTGTTTTGTCTAATTTATATAAGCTTAAGTTTTTGAAAATAACAACACATGTTCAATGAATTGGACTATTAAACACCTAAGCTATATAATTTAAAAAAAGTAACAATTAAAAATAAAACATTCAATTATACTTTGCATTCATATTCCAAATCTATTATTCCAATATTAAATACTTTTTTTAAATCCCTTGAATTTTTTTCTTAGTTATTAAAAGTCGATATTCATATGAATATTCATTAACATAATTGTAATCTTCTCTTGGTGATTTTACATATAAAAATGGATATTGAATAAGTAGTTGGAAAAATTTGTGTCGGAGAGAAAATTAAACCAAACAAAATAAACTGGTTAGGGCTTAAATAGTGTGTGATGTCAGTCAGAAAATAAATCAGAAGGCTGACAAATTACAGTCATACATATTACATTTACTACTACTATTATATAAAAAAAAATCTATGATGCAAAAACTACAAAATTTGATTATTTCATTCTTTTTACACTTAAGAATTTTATGAGTATCTTATATTCTTTTATAATTATTTACCGTGCATTGTATACTCCCAACTATTATTATTTAGCTTACAAAATTACATAGCTACATGTGTGCGATAATACAATACATACCAAACGGCAAACATACGTCGTACATGCTACATATTTACATGCCGGTATAGTTTAACAAGAAATTAAATGAAAGGAAGAGTAATTTTCAGTAAACACAAACAAAAGAATGGGAGGGTTCCGAATAAAAAGTTTAATTCAAAAAGATATGTATAAAAAAAAAATTTAATTATATTAGAAATGAAACAAAAACATCCTAAAATTACAAACATACATACCTATATAATAAACGGTGTCACATTGTGTTTAAAACGAAAAATAAAGTTTACTTCTATTTTAAAGGTAAAGAAATAAAATGATGTTTCAATTCAAAAGCATTGTATTAAGAACGGTGGTACCTACCAGAAAAGTCTATGAAGGTTGCTAAATCAATGAATAGAAAACTCTTCAATAAGGCCAATTGTAGCGGTATAGGAAACGTTTCAACGACTTCAAAAGTGAACTAAGAGCAGCAAATAAAGATTGCTTACAAAAGTTCTTAAACCAACACTTAAGAGTCTTAGGCCGGTTTTCTCAATGTCTGGTTAACACTAATCTCCGGTTAAACATAGTTATCGACCTTACCGACTCCCTGTTATATGCATGGAGTCGAAGTCGTCGATAACGATGTTTAACCGCAGATTAGTGTTAACCAGACATTGAGTAACCGGCCCTAAATGATTAGTCGATAGCGCTTCCAATGAAGTGGTCCGTACTATGGAAAGTTACTAGAATACAGGGATTAAATGCTAGCTAGCATCTTAGTGACCTTTCCATAGTACGGACCACTTCGTTGGAAGCGCTATCGACTAATCATTAAGGGCCGGTTGTTCAATGTCTGGTTATCACTACTTGCCGGTTAAACATCATTATCGACGTTTTCGACCTCACGCATATAACATGTGATCGATAAAGCAGTCGTTGTATTTAACCGGAGCTTCTACCTCCGCTTTGTGCTAATCAGACATTGAACAACCGGCCCTTAGTCTCTCAAGTGTTGGTCTAAGAATGCAGCGAATAAATCCGAGCTAGCTTCTTAGATGTTGAGAGTACTTGTTCCCACGACAGTCGGGTGGCTCGACCCTATTAAGCTGGCATTTCAGGGTACTATTGTATATATATCTAAGGAAAATTTGAAAGTTAGGTGGGGGAGGGGGCTCGAGCATCCCCCTGCCCCTACCTGGCTACGCCCATGATTATGACATACGTGAACGTACTCTTTATCCCATTCAGGTTATACGACTGACGTATCACGAAATTTTCTTCCGCGTGGTTTTAGATCCATGAACGGATGCTAAGATTCGAGCCCAGGGAAGCTACTCTGTAATTCGATGCGATAGGAAATCGCCACTGCGTATTACTTACGATGTATTTGCCTATCGCATCGCATTGCTCTTTCGTATTGCATTATAGAGTAGGTTCCCTAACCCCTAACATTGCAGAGATTGGGCTGGAACTCGACGTACACATCGATGGCGAAAAAACCAATTGCGAATAAACCCTAGGTTTTAGGAAACGCTTTCGATATCTTGTTCTCCTCTGCCGCTAGCGGGAAATTACGTGGGAATCTGACAAAACTACTCAACAAGGCGATCGGCCGATGTTACAAGCAACTCGCAAGGGAAAAATCTTCAAACGCCCCAAACAGCTGCAGCCACAAAAACTTACTATATAATCAGTTCCTTGTGGGATGTCATCGTGAGAATCACCACAAAGACGCTCGGCTTCGAAAGGATCCACCCCTCCGACACGTGAGATGGCACCTACTCGACCTGAGAATGGGCGTGGGGACGTACAATGACCTCCGCTTCTATGAGGCATGATACAAAGCGGATCTCTACAACGTACATATCGATTCGTCCGCCACTCTCTGTATTGAGGATGAAGAACTACCGAAACATACCAAGTGCACCCTAGATAGATAGATATTTGTTGAGAAATGAACCGCCACTCGGATTTACATATATAGATTGTGCCCCAGGTGCACCCTAACATAGCTCCGTTGAGGGTGGGGCAACGTACTCAACGTCCATCTCCATCCGCTAAACCAGAAGTGGCTAAAACCTGTACAGCATATGGGTGAGGTCCTCATATACGGAACACTTATTGTCATGCGCCTCCAATCCGAAGAGCCTATCTTAGCGAGAAAAAACTTTGAATTAGAATACATCTGGTAGATAGAAATCATCGGAGATCTTCGTAAAATGTTAACATATAGTTTACGATTGTTTGAGAAACAAGTTTTTAAGTGTTTTCATTTGTTGTTGAAAAACTGCAATGATATGCATTTCTGCTTAAGAGAATACCCACTTCCATTATGTCGTGTCAAAAAGCGCGTGCGCAACTAGATAGGAAGAGATGGCGGCATTGTTTTTGATTAAAACCAACGACAACAATAAAGTTAGTCGCTCTCGTGGATCAAAAACAATTACAGGAAATACAGGTTAGCAGACGTTCAACGAAATAGGAGCGCAAAGACGTACTAAGAGTCACCAGAAAATAAATGTATATACAAACACAACAATTACATGCAAGACCCATCAGATTACAATCACAAGATGAAATGATTGTAAAGATAACTTTAGCGCTGTGTGAATTGAAACGTACGGGAATCACCAACCCAACACTCAATAGATCCATACACTAAGCCTTAGTGACTAAGTGATCGATACAGGCAACATCGCGGTCAAACAATATATTTGCTAACCGGTCGCGACAACATTTACAAGAATGTTGAGGCTTTAATCCCCCCCGAAAAAATCAAAAGCGGCTGCAACCTGAAGTGAAAGAACTGAAAGGAAGGAAGGAAGGAAGAGCAGTTCATAGCAAGGCACACGGTCAGTGGTGCTGAGAGCGCGCGTATTTTAAAAATTAAATAACCGACAAAGTGGCATGCCAAGACCATGAGAAGGTGAGGCGAATATCCTGCACATTTTTGGGAGTGCACGAACAACAGGCCAATTGAAGGTAGCGCGGCTGAAATGGTGGTGGTATTTGCGTGTACGCTGATGGTGGTGGTGGCAGCAGCGGTCGTTGACGGCTGTACGTATGCCTATGTATATTGCGACCAGCTGTTGATAGCGGCGGCGGTGGTGTATTGGTGCCGGGAAGGGAGCGTGCCACAAACAAGCGGTGAAAGAGCCACAGCTAACCACCAAGCGACAACAACAAACATAATCGATAGCAGCAATATCAACAACAAAGTGAGAATGCCGTCTACAACAAGACCGACCGCAAGCCCATACCAAGAAGAGGAATGCGGCCCTGCAACTACAACAATTCCCAAGACGTTGACGTTATTGTTGGTGTTGTCGGTTGATCAGGTTCATGTGTCCATATGTTTGTATACATATATCATCCAATTCCCATTCAGCGGCAAGGCGCAGATACAATTACTTTTTGGTTTTGTGCTTTTACATTTGCTTTTGATTTTGCTTTTTTCTTTTTATTTCATTTATTGTATTTGTTTGCCTCTGCATTTGACTTGTTTAGAGTTGGTTTTGGCTTCGCTTATTTTGCCAGTCGCTGGCTACTCAGTCAGTCAGGTTGAGAACGTCGTCGGGAATTGTCGCGCACAACACTGTGGACGGTAGTTGCCTCCACGGATTTCAAATATAAAAGAACGGTTGCATGTGCTGGTTTTTAGTCACCGCCGTTGACAATTTCGCGAACCCGCTGGTAGGATTTACATTTGGTGTTTTGGTTTTTTTTTGCTATGAAAAAATGCAAAAGCAGCAACAATCGAATACGAAAATCTCGAAAACGTTCGATGTGTACTCGTTTATGCCGAAAATTTGTTAATTTGTATGCTTCAAAAATGTGGGCGCTTGCAATGCGCTGTTGTATGCCTATTTGCGCTGTTTGTGCGATGTGTTTGTAGCCGCCGTTCGCCCGGAGTTATTTCCTTGAATACGCTGGCGAAATAGCAAAAAAGAAACAACAAAGCAAGAAATTGGCCGCATATTTCCGCACTGCTTGCAACGCGATACCCTTCAATAGCCAGTGGACGCACACAACCAAATATACCCACACATCTACATATGTACAAATGTATGTACATATATATATACATATCCACTCTTCACATTAACATGCGCACGCGATTTAAAATAAATTTTATGTAAATAAAAATTTCGCAAATAACGACTTTTGGGTGAACGTCGAGCATATGTAAAGAAGTATGTAGTTACAGTGTTGCAAAAGCTGAGATGCGCAGTGATTGAATGTTATCGATTATTATTGCCGCAGTGTATTTTAAACCGAAAAAGGCAATACAAGTGAAGGCAATTGCATTTAGAACAAATGATTGAAAGCATGAATTGCACAAATAAAAATTAAAAAAGCTATTACAGTAAAAAACAAAAATAGATACTCACAGATACGAATGTGAGCGGTAAAATTTGCAAGCAACAAACTACAGAGTACATACATACCTGCCAGTCTCAGGCACGAATTTGGGTATCCACTTCGACAGGTAAGCAAACAAATTAAGGCGATGTTTACTAGACGCCAGTTTTAATGAAGCGTGAAAAGTATTAACTGTTGTCGCAATTCTGGAAAAGAAAAATAACAACAAACAATTTGCTTAGCACTTGAGTAACTTTGAAATCGACTCTTAAGCCAATTAGAAATGAAAATTACATAAAGTACTAAACAGTCTAACCCAATTTCGATACAGCATTCCTCAAAGGTATATCAGACCATATAACCTNTAGGCGATGTTTACTAGACGCCAGTTTTAATGAAGCGTGAAAAGTATTAACTGTTGTCGCAATTCTGGAAAAGAAAAATAACAACAAATAAACAAACATGACAAAAGATGTGCAATTTGCTTAGCACTTGAGTAACTTTGAAATCGACTCTTAAGCCAATTAGAAATGAAAATTACATAAAGTACTAAACAGTCTGACCCAATTTCGATACAGCATTCCTCAAAGGTATATCAGACCATATAACCTTATACACATATAAACCAAAAAGTTCGCCGTTCATCCGAGTCTAAAATATTTTTTCAAGACAATTTCGAAACAAATTTCTTTTGGCCGAACTTAAGTGTTGCCTTTTTTACATTTCGGTGCCACCCAGACCTGTTAAATAATGATTAATAATCATAATGATTATTAATTAAAGCATGTTTTTTGAGGTAACCGTTTAATGATTAAATATCATTATTTGCACCTTTTTAATAATTAATAACTAATTACTTTGAAAAAAGAAAATTAATTAACTACTTAATTAAGTTTAATTACACGATTATTTTATTATTTTCAATTATTTTTGAATTTTTTCAATTACATGATTAATATAATTATTTTTGATTTATTTTAATTGCATGATTAATATACATAATTATTTTATTATTTTTAAATATTTTCAACTTGTGAATAATACATTGAAACGCATTAATATACATACTATGAGTATTAATACAGTAATATAAGATAAATGCACAAGGAGAATAAAAAACGCGGTCAATATGCTTACCTATGTCTATATGTAAGATCTGCACCAATGTGTTCTCTAGAAAATTCTTTCTGAAAGAATTAATGAATAGCAAAGACAGTTGACAATATCTGTAAGAAATCATTCTTTACTTGTAAACTACAGTATAAGTATTTACTTGTACAGTTAATTTGGTTTCAGTTATTTAATACTAATTTATAAAAATTTGCCTGCCAAACACAGCTTTGTCTATTCAAAAAAAATAATTAAAAATAATCATATAATTAGAAATAATCAGATAACTAAAAACAATAAAATAATTNGTTTAATTACACGATTATTTTATTATTTTCAATTATTTTTGAATTTTTTCAATTACATGATTAATATAATTATTTAATTATTTTTGATTTATTTTAATTGCATGATTAATATACATAATTATTTTATTATTTTTAAATATTTTAAACTTGTGAATAATACATTAATATACATACTATGAGTATTAATACAGTAATATATAAGATAAATGCACAAGGAGAATAAAAAACGCGGTCAATATGCTTACCTATGTCTATATGTAAGATCTGCACCAATGTGTTCTCTACAAAATTCTTTCTGAAAGAATTAATAAATAGCAAAGACAGTTGACAATATCTGTAAGAAATCATTCTTTACTTGTAAACTACAGTATAAGTATTTACTTGTACAGTTAATTTGGTTTCAGTTATTTAATACTAATTTATAAAAATTTGCCTGCCAAACACAGCTTTGTCTATTCAAAAAAAATAATTAAAAATAATCATATAATTAGAAATAATCAGATAACTAAAAACAATAAAATAATTTAAAAAAATCAAACAATTTAAAATAATCAAATAAATAAAAAAATTATTTGATTGAATTTGATTATGCTATTATTTTCGATTAATTTTTTTAATGGCAATTAATCATGATTATTTTTGATTAATTTTAATTATAATTAATTATTAATTGCTGGGTTATGTAAGAAAATTAAAATAATCATTAAAATTAAAAAATTTAAAAAANAAAAAAAAATCAAACAATTTAAAATAATCAAATAAATAAAAAAATTATTTGATTGAATTTGATTATGCTATTATTTTCGATTATTTTTTTTAATGGCAATTAATCATGATTATTTTTGATTAATTTTAATTATAATTAATTATTAATTGCTGGGTTATGTAAGAAAATTAAAATAATCATTAAAATTAAAAAATTTAAAAAAATTTATGATTATAATTACGTAATGGAAATTTAACAGCTCTGGTGCCACCTACGTATGTATGTAGATACATTCGGCAATAAAAAGATTTTTTTTTTATAGTTTTGTGGAGTGTTTTAAATACACTTTAGCAAAAGCTTAATGATTTTTGATGAGTTATAATTTACNTTTTAACAGCTCTGGTGCCACCTACGTATGTATGTATGTAGATACATTCGGCAATAAAAAGATTTTTTTTTTTATAGTTTTGTGGAGTGTTTTAAATACACTTTAGCAAAAGCTTAATGATTTTTGATGAGTTATAATTTACTGTGACATCATTCTAGAAACGCGCTGTTTCAGTCCATCGTTAAGTAGCGGTACCGATTAAGGAGAAAGGTATACTTACTATACAGTACTCTTAGGCTGATCCATTAAAGTAGTCTTTATAAAATTTTACTAGCCAATGCCCGCTTTCTTCGCGGCACCTGATAACAACTTTTACGTTGGCCAATGCCAAAATATATTGTTGAAAAGCAAAAAATTCTTAGTATTGGTAAGCGGCTAAAGAGGAGAACCCGTCTCACACAAGGGCCAAGAAAAGTAGCCAGTGATACCATATGGAATATTAGTCCCTTTCGATTCACAAGCTTTACCAACTATGTTATTTCTACCTGAGAAAAGTTTTCCCGTACATTGTCTAAATGAGTCGTGTGATCACTTGGATAACATTAAAATGAAGAGTTTCTAAATATTTCGACTGCACCGCCATCTCTTTGGTGTATTTTTTTTGTAGAAGCATTGCTTAACATGAAATGAATACGGTCAACCAATGTTCGGGAAAAAATTTGANTGCATGATTAGTAAAGATCTTATCTAAACTATGAATCGTTCACACAAATACGTTTAATGATGGAATTAATTAAAAAAATTGTGTTTGTAAAAATAACCAAAATCTACATGACGCACCCATATTCTATTTACAAGTAAGTTTTAAACGTCATCATTTCTAAGCGCCAATGCCGTTTGTTTAACAAAAACAAAAAGTATATGTAATTATGTATGAATGTATGTTTCGTACATAAACAAATTATAGCATTGGTAAAGTAAGATCAAAGAACAAAAAAAAAACTACAGAAAAAATCACTACCCACCTGTAGAACCTCAGCATTAAAACACGTTAGTCAGTCAACACAAGCGCAATAAAGCCACTCTTTTACCAGCAGCCGCCAGTTGAGTGGCGCGCATGCTCAACATTCCCAGCATCGGAAACAAGTTCTCAGCGGCGATGAAGATCATCGAATAAACGATGTTGAGTAGCATACGGACGGACAAAGCTTAAAACAGCTCACTTTGTTGTGATAAAAGCACAAAAAATAAAAAAACAAATTTACTAACTCAAAACAGACAGACGGAAAACAGCAACAACAGTGGAAGTAGACAGCCTGTAGAACCAGTCATCTTTGGTTCAAATAAAAATAAAAGTGCGTTGTTGCCGTTTAGATAATATTTTCTGCTTCTGCTTCTATGCATGTACATATGTATGTACTTCTCGAGCTGTGGTGGAATTTTTAAAATGACCAACGGCCAGTTACTTCTACAGATATTGTGCCGGAGTGAGATTTACTCGAGCCGCGGCGGATTCTATTTGATTTTCATACATATTTCGTACGCAATGGAATTCTTATTTATACTTATACTTATGTACATATGCACATACATATGTATGTTTGTATGTTTGTTTAAGTTTCTTCGACACGACAAAACAATTATCGCGTCTTGAAAGAGAATTCCAACTCTAGTAGTCCTGCGAAAGTCTTCGATATCTGTGTGTGGTGAGTAGGTATTTTATAGTTATTGTGATCTGCAAGCTTTGGCGTGATCTAAGCCTGCAGAGAGACCCCGAACGAGTGAACCAAATTTCAAGTTCCGTACTAGAACTTTATCGCCAAAAAGGAACCAGTCTGATAGTAACTAGATCGAACCAGTTCAAAAACAGCGAAATGTGGTAGTTAAAAAAAAAACTATTTTTTTACTTTTTAAAACTACAAATCGCTAGCTAAATAAAACTGAAAAGTTACTGCTATGTCCATTTTTTCCTAGTGTTCCATATTTCGATGCAAGAAGCAATAACAATTGGAAATGCATCGTTTTATTAAAGAACTTTAAGATCGAACTACTTCTTACTACGTTCTGTTGCTAAGTCTAAAATAGTCGCAGAAAATTTGACAAGTCCCAAAGAGTAAAAAAAAACTTTTCATTAGAAATCCACTAGGCATTGAAATAACAAAAAATATATGCCATTTAAAAAAATGTCATGTGGAAATGAACTTAATGACACTTTTTTTAACGTAACTACACGAATATTTTTTAATGCCCAACTTTGTCATTTGTCATTTTTTCCATTTAATGCCTAGGGGAAATCCAACATAAGGGGCGTGTGTGAATCGGTAACAAAGTTCTATGGGGAAAGCTGTTGAATAATATTTTTACTATGGTGAAACAGTTTTGCCAATCTGCTGTGTGAAATTAAATCTTTTTTGACAGCAGTAAATTTTTGATAACCGTAGATTTATGCGGCATAAAATATTACGAATTGAAGTGAAATTAATATATTAAGAAAACATCTACCATCGTTGATTGCAGTTCATCAATTTAAGCTTTTATTTAACGAAAAATTACACACATCAATAATCTTTGCGATTGTCAAACTTTTCTATTCATTTGTCAAAAATTTTACTAGTCTCATAAGCTACTGAAATTTTATTCACCTCATAGTTGTCAAAAATTTACTCGCCGCGAAAATGGCACTTCGTAGGACATCACAATGTTAAATTCGAGAGTTCCTCGCACGCGAAAGAAAATTAACGCGCCAAGTCATGGTACCGAACCAGTTCGGCGCTAGTGCGTTTTCCTACAGGGTATTATGTACTTCTATGTGACATTGAAGGGCTCTGTTGTAGCAACATATATAAAGTAGGTTCCGAAGTCATGGGAAGTGTAGAATATACGATAAAAACCATCTCGTTATTAATATTGGCTGAGGCGGAAGAGCGATATTGGGATACATGTTCTTAAAAGCTTCAACGCGCAAAGCAGATTTAAAAAATATTTTTGTTTTTGTTTGTTAAAGGCCAAAACACAATAGCGCAGTGGCAGTGGCAGTGACAGTTTTTAAAATCAGCTGTTACTGCTAATATTGGCAGTCAATGCCGCAGCAAACACAATACGGCGTTGTCAGTGACTGCTTTTTTTGACATTCCCTTTTGTTTGTTTACATTTTTGTTGTTGCCTTTTAGGCTTCAATGACATCAACAGATGTTGGCTGCGTTTCATTTATGTCAAATTCAGCATGCGAAGTTTGCTGCGATGAAGGCAGTGGCAGTGAATTTAGAATTTGGGCTAAACTGAGCAGTACTGCTAGCTGCCACTGCTGTATTGTGAGTCGCTTCATTGGACAGCACACTTTCTAAAAAACAGCTGATTTCGAAAAACTGCCGCTGCCACTGTCACTGCGTTATTGTATTTTGGGCTTAAATCGTCAACATCATTGAAGCTAGCTCTTACATCTTCGGCCACTGGGTTCACGCCCCTAGAGCATCTAGTTGCGATTCTGCATCAAAAAGAAAATTTTGAAAAAAAATTTCGTTTACGTTTTTTGGCGGTTAAGGCTCGATGTATGGCTCTGCGTCAGTGACATTAAAATAATTTTTGACGAAATCAGTACCCAATAGTTGCATGGAATCATCAAATGCTCTTGCAATTGTGGAGTGAATCGTCCGTGATTTAAAGCAAAATATGTATGAATATGCACTAACAAATCGATATCATCTTAACACACAACTTTTGATTCGCAACATTTGTTAATCTTTAAGCTCCTATGACTTACCAAAAAAATATGTAAATGCATAGAAATCCGGGCCCTACTGATAAGAGATGATGAGTGAAACTGAATATGTAGTCTGGTTCAGTCGGCCGTTTACGTTGAAATTTTGCGATTGATTTATACAACAACAATGTGTTGCGACGTATTTGATATGATGTAACTTATTTGATGTGATGCGGCTTATTTGATGTAATGTGATGTGATCTGATTGAAAGCTTGACTCTGTATAAATTATAGCTTCAATGGGCATGGCAGTTATAGTTAGCGAGACAAAGATCGCATGATGTGATCCCGCGAATTTAAGGTGATGTTGTGTATGTATATGGTATTTTTTTTTTTTTT